GGAAAAATGTCCAGCGGGTTGTTATCATGTCCCAGAGGTAACGAGGAAATAAAGAAAATGGTGAGAGCAGAGATGGAAAGTGGTGGGGGCGGGCGGGGCAGAAGAGAAATGACCTATGTCATCTCCCAAGTCACTCTGACAGTTGGGAGGCCAAGGTCAGCATAGAGCCAATGAAACAGACAGCTCCTACCCCGGTGTGAAGGGGTGCAGTGCAGCAGAAGGATTGCGGGGGCTCAGAGAGAGGCCCCCGAAGGTTGAGGAACATGAGCAGGACTCAGGGACGTGAGGTGAGGACACATCCCCAGAGAGGGTACAGCACAGGAGGGCCCTGGCGCCAAATGAACATGGGGCAAGTGCAGTAGATGAGGCCATTGGAGGCGAGGACAGTCCACAATGAGCCGCGACATCATCGGTGATGAGGCCGGAACCAGAACATCACCTTCCCTCTTCCAGAACTTCCCTTATTTCAGTATTTTGCTACTTCCCACACCTACACATTCAGGTTTTTAAGCCACTCTCTTTTTAGAAAAATGCAATGAAATCTTATGTTGTCTCCTCAAAAGGCTGTGGGGTGGGCTGATATCTGCAAAAAAAATGTGACTAAATCAAATGCACATTTTTTTAGAATCTTAATAATAAATGCCAAACAAATACCCTGAGGATGACTAGTTGCCAGGAAGCTGGAAAAGAGTTCGCATTGGCCTGACAACATGCAGAATAAACCCAAACGCACATGTAGGAAGACGACTTCTTTGTTATCCCAGGGGTCTGACAGGTTTAATGATGATGTCAAGTGCGTTTTCAGGCCTGGCGTTTCCGGATTGTCTGCACCGTGAAGTTCTGTGTCTTGTGAAATGTCAGCGTGCTCTTCCGTGGGTGCCGTTCTCATTTGAATGCACAGATGCAGGGTTTCCGTGGAAAGCGTTCTGGTTCTGTGAGGCGCATGAAGTTGCTTTTAATGCCACCGTTCTCGTGGGGACCTGCCAGGAGCACATGTGAAGAAACACTCAACCCTCGAGCTCTGCCCTTGGCCTTGCTGAGGATTCCACGGTGAAGGTGGGATGGAGCAGGTCTCTACTGCAGAGATGTCTCCGGGAGCCACAGGGGGCTTGGACGGCAGCTTTGCCCAGGCCCTCCTGGGCCACCGTCACAGCAGTGACAATGGCATCCTCGCTGGTCCTTCAGCCGTGTGGACCCTAAGACAGTAGCAGATGCGTGCCAGAGAGACAGAGTGTGTAGCCCCCGGGATCACGCACTCGGAGCAGCCTGCTGGCCTCAAGCTCTCAGCAGCTCTAATCCCGGCTGCTGCCCTTGTGTACATGACCCAACTGCCCTGAGCTCGGATTTCCAGCTGAGAAATGGGACCACCGCTGCTCGCTTCTTAAGGAGGTAATAAGGATTCAATGAGGTTTGATTGTTTTTTGTTTGTTTTTTTGAGACAGAGAGAGGGGAAGGGGTGGAGAGAGAGAGGGAGAGAAATGTTGATTATCTGCCTCTTGCACATGCCCCGACCAGGGACCCAACCAGCAACCCAGGCCTGTGCCCTGACCAGGAATCAAACCCATGACCTTTCTGTCTGTGAGATGGCTGTCAGCCAACTGAGCCGCACCGGCCGGGACATGCCAACCATGTGTAACGGGGCCGTGTCCACAGGGGTCCTCATGGCAGTGTTTTCTGTTGTCGGGACTGACCCAGTTGCGGGTCCCTCCCCCAGCACCTGCGAGGGCCAGAACCGTGCCTCCTGTAACGGGGGATCACTCAGCATTTGGGGGTTGAATGGACGGGGAACAGAAGGACCAGACTGACCCTTGGCCAGGGCTGCCATGTACGCTGTGACCTTTGGTCTACAGAGCGCTGCTGACAGCTGGTACCGTGCTCCTCCCGTTTTACACGTTAGGAAAACGGCAGTCACCGAAGTGACTCGCTGCAGGCAGGGTTCCAACACAGCGGAGCCCCCGTCTGGACTCGGTCGTCAGGCCCCAGGCCTCGCTCTCCCCGGACTCAAACTTCTGTTTCCTTCTTTCCCCCTCTGAATCCTGTCTGCAGTATTTTCCGTATGACAGGTAAACCCCGTGGCCTATTTGTCTCACCGTTTGCGGCGTCAAAAGTCAAAGCAGGTAGAGCACATGGAAGAGTTACCCCGGCGTAAGCTGTTACCTTGTGCTCAGTATTCAGTGGAGTGCAGGCAGTAGCCTGGTTGCTCTGTGAAATTATTTTAAATGGGGAAAAACTAAAGGAAAAAGGAGAGAAGGAAAATCTGGACAAGGGAGGGATAGAAGATGTATAGTCATAATTGGTTCTGAAATCCGAGGTGTTTCCTGACCCCGACCACCCAGGAAGGCAAGGAGACCCCCCTGGGATGTTCGACCATTTCCTGAATTTCTGAGGTGTGGTCAGCATACATCTTGATATTTTATCATATATTTTCAGCTCTTGGCTAACAAAATTAGGGAGCTATAGTTTTAGCCTTTTGTTTTACCTCCCCTTTCTATCAGAATCCTGAGTTCCTAGGATAAGAGACTCAGAAATTTTATAGCTTATTTTTTTTTACAAGAACTGTAAATTCTATTGCGCTAGTAAGAAAGTTGAGAAAAAGAAAACAAGCAAAAAGTAACTTTGGTAGTAATAAAAATACAGTTATTGATAAACAGCATAATTAACCAGCAGAATCAACTAACGTCTACTGAACATTTAGTATGTGGACAAACCTATGTGACATGATTTTATATGCAATATTTCATTTATTGATTCATGTCTTTCTTCAACAATGTTTACTGTATACCCACTATTTGTGAGGCACATTTCATTTACTCGACTTGTAAGGATGGAGAAGTGCTGGACTTAGCAAAGCTTTCCTTCTAGTAAAGGAGGAGAGCAATGAAAACCCGACCAAGAAATACTGGACAAACTATCAGACTGTGATAAGTTCTCTAAAGAAACATAATGGGAAAGATGAACAGTGATGAAGGCTTGGGCTAATTGATGCTGCTTAGATGAACAGACTGGTCCAAGAACCATCCCTGCTGAGTTAAACTTGAGCAAACGTGTGTCTTAAGTGAGAGGTTAGAGGAACAGTGTCCCTAGAGAGAGGAACAGTAAGTGCAAAGTCCCTGAGGCAGTCAAAAGCTCGACAGGGCTGCTCAGGCAGAGCTCCGAGGACCTGTCTAGCTTTGCAGGTGGTGGGCGTTTTGACTTTCTCCCAAAGGGGACAGGAAGCTCTTGGAGGGTTTGGGCTGAGAGATGACACACTTGGACTTACTTTTCAAATGATCCTTCTGGCCACTCTACAGGGGGTACTTTGTCCTTATGGGGTTGGCGAGGTGGAAGCTGGTAGAGCAGTTAGGTGAAATAAGAGTTGAAGGCATTACCCTTAAAGAGAGAGGAGCAGGGGTGAGCCGCCCTCAGAGAATCAGAGAGCAAATGGACTGTGGACAAACACTGGGACTGGGGACCAGAGAGGCAAGTATGAATCTAATGTGAGACAAGCCCACGGAGTTGCGTGTTTTCTGCAAACACTTTCAGCTGCTCTGGCCAGGGCACAGAACGGGGTTTCACCGCAGGTGTGCTAGACAGTCGGGCAATGAGGAGTGAGGCTGCTGGATTAATTCTGGACCGCAAGCCCAGTAGACAGAGAGAGCAGGAGGTGGGCTGGCGGTGAAATGTGGGCGTTGGTGGCTCTACTGGAGTCTGCTGTGGACTGTGTCCCTGTCCCCAAATTCGTGTGTTGGAGCCCTAGTCCCTGAGTGACAGCTTTCAGAGTAGGGGGCCTTCCTGTGAGAGATACTTAGGTTCAGAGAAAGTCATGGGGTGGGGAGCCTCATGATGGGATTCATGCCCTTCTAAGAAGACACCAGAAAAGTAGCTCGCTCCGTCTCCTTCTCCACCACTTGAGAACAGAAGGCCACCACCTGCAAGCCGAGAAGAGAGACCACGCCACGACCTGACCACACCGGCACCCTGCTCTCGGACTTTGGCCTCCAGAACTGTGAGAAACACTGCCCGTGGTCGAAAGTGCCTCGTGCACGGTTCTGTTACAGCAGCAGCAGCTTAGAGGGAGCAGGGAGTGAAGAAGTGAGCTAGGAAGGGGCTGGGACCTGGCCGAACTGGCTGTCACAGGCTTAAAATGGAGAACTTGGAGATGCTGACCATGACTCCGGTGTGTGATTATGAGAAATGCATCATCTTCGTTAGGGTAGAAAACCACTCCAGCTTTGCTGGCTCTTTCCTCCTCACATCACTTGGGGGTCGCCAAAATAACCACCAAGACCAGGTCAGCCATGCACCCTACCAAAAAGGTGGGACCTCCTGGCCCTGCACACCTCTCACGTGGGGTCCTGGGACTGTGGGGGTGAGGATGGACCAGTCCTAGCCTCCGCCCAGCTCACTGAACACGCTCACACACCTGCCTCGCTCAATGCAGGCGACTCTCCCCACTCCCCACTCTCCAACAGCAGTGGCTGGTGTCATGGGGAGTCCTCCGGGCACAGAATCCTCAGAAGGGGCTGTCATTTCCGGGGAGCAGCCAGCTCTCCAGGAGTCCCCGCCACGGCCTACTTCTCAGGATGGGACCTGGGAAAGGGCTGCTTTTCAGACCGCGGGGCAGGACGCTGCAGGAGCCAGGCTGCCCAGCAATCCTGCAGTTCGCGTTCCTAGAAGGACCCTGGAAGCTTCTCGGGGGCGCGGGAGCCCTAGGTCGCCAAGGGGCAGTGCTGCGGCATCCGGGGGTGCGCCCTCCTTTCCGATTCTCGGCCCCCAGGCCTCACAGGGGGGGTAGAGAGGGAGGGAGAGAAGGAGGGCGGCGGGGGGCGGAGACCATCCTTGCAGCAACAGTTTGGAGGGGCAGCTGCAGGTCTCTCCGCAGAAACGGAAAACCGGGGCGCACGAGCAGAGCAGGGAGGGAGAGGACGGCGGGCGGCGCACCGAGGGGCGGGGACAGGCGCGAACGGCGGGGGCGCTGCACGGTGCCTGCGGGAATGTGACATCAGCGCGCGCGGGCGCAGGCGGCCGGAGGAGGCAGCTCGCTCGGCTGCGCTGTGCTCACCTCGCCCGGGCAGGACGCGGACCCTGGCTGGCGGCGGGATGTCGGCGAAGGAGCGGCCGAAGGGCAAAGTGATCAAGGACAGTGTCACCCTCCTGCCCTGCTTCTACTTTGTCGAGGTAGGTTGGCCCGGCGCCTTGGCACAATGCGGATCCTGCGGGCAGCTGGGGGACTCGGGTCCTGGACTGGATGCCAGGGTGCGCGCCCCAGCCCTGTGTCCCCGACCCTTGCCTTCCCCAGCCTTTGGGGAGCTCCCCTGAGCGGGCCTGGGGCCGCCTGCCAGCCCGGGGTGGCCCGGGGTGACCACCACTAGCCCTGTCGCTGCCCTGCTGGAGGCCCGCAGGGAAGAGATACCTGTGTGAGTGAGCGTCGGGCCAGTTCCCGGGCCCTCCTGCTGTGCGTGCCGTGAGCACCGCGTCAGTGGCCCAGGGGGGCCATGATGCCGGTATTTCGGGATTTGTGTCTTCAGTTTGAGAGTGTGTCATCTAGAATTCAACTAGCGTTTATTAAGAACTCAAATGCACACAGCCATGCCTGGTTGGGGGAGGGGGTAAGGACAGGGGATGTGTATATAGTGTTGGGATTATTGATGGCTTTATTCTAAAAAAAAATGCCCTCCTGTCATAATTACTACGGTGTTCACGTCTGCTTCTAAATCTGGGTCTGCACCTCTAGGCGTCAATCTATTGGCCTTTCTACATGGTTAGCAAAAAATGTTGTGTGTACACATGCACAGGCAGAGACCCATGTACGGGTACATGCATGGATGTGTGTGTGTGTGTGTGTGTGTGTGTGTGTGTGTGTAAAATAAGTGACATCACCTGATTTATGTGATTTGTGCATGTGTGTTTGTCTGGTGCTGAACAGGGTTGCAGATGAGCAGTGAACCTGCAGATGTGCCCATAACGAGTCTCTAACTCGCCAAAATGCAGCGTTGGAGGAGGCACCGTGTGTGGGAGGGCTCTGCAGATGGACAGGTACCGCGACGGGGTTCACTGTGGTCCGGCACAGTAGGAAGACATTTTTAAGCGAGAGGTTTACTATATCACAGGTAGAAAAGAACCGGACTGGCTAGGCTGAGTGAGATCAGATGGTCTCAGGCTTGAAACTATGTCCTGTGCAGTCGGAGCTGGGATTGCACAGAAAATGCTAAGACTGTTGCTGAATTATAAATGCCCTTCCTGGGCTGTCTTTTCAGCCAAATATGGAGGCTGAGGGCTGGCAAGTGCAGAGAGTAGATTCTGTATTTTCTGGTGGCAAAGCTTCTCTGTGCTGAGGGACGTCCGCTGCCTTGCAACTTGTAGAGGGTCACGGGCAGATAGACTTCACTGGCACCCGTATATCTGCGAGTTCCTCTTCAGAGTCACAGATTTTCCTACCTGGTTTCAGTTTGAAGAAAGATGAGTGTGGTTTGCATGAGTCTCAGAGAAATGAAGGCTGGCTGCCTCGTCCATGACCCACAGAAAAGGAGCAAAGAGATTGTCCTATTTATTTAAGTTAATTAATAGAGTCACATATTGTTGCCTGTCCCCTTTTCATAAGGGGTTTTGAGGCCATGGTTTAGGCAATTTTGCTGAAAGATAATGAGGAGTTTTCTGAGGAAAAATGTGGGCGGCAGAAGAGTCCATGATGAAAAGGGTCAAGGAACAGGAGACGGGGTACCTGCTTCCAAGTCCACTCCTCTCGGGCCATTTGTCACACTGCTGACCTGCTGCTCCCTCTGTCTGGGAGGAATCAGTGAATGGCTTGGGTCCACCTCAAGGACAGGGCACAGCTGAGCTCAGCTGGAAGCTGACTACACAGACCACAGTCACTTGGCTTCAAGGAAAATACTTCCCCAGAGAGGGTACAAACCAGAGAATAAGGCTGTGCCTTCAAAGAACCCATGTCTGCCCTTCCGGGGTTCCTTTAACGGGAGTTCACTTCCCTTAGTGTAAAATTTTAAAAGCAAAAATTCCTCATAATGCATTTGAAAGGCATCTCTGGGAACAAACGTGTCACCATGCATGGGAATGGCCCAGAATCATGACATTCCCTCTGCCCCAGTCAGAAAGCTTCCAAGAACTCCTCAGCAGGGCCAGCTCTCCGATCATCCCTTGAAGACAAGTCGCAGAGCTTGTCTTGGGGGTAGCAGCCACCAATGACCTGCCTGAAACTTACGGGCATGATGAAGGAGTAAAGACCCTCTAGGGAGCAGGGGACAGGAGAAGACATCAGCACACTGACTAGCAAAGGGGTTGGCAGGCTGTGTCCCCAAGCCCCCTTGGAATGACTCATTAGGAAGGCGCTGAGAGTGAGCGCCGCCTCCCCTTCGGAGGACGAACAAACACAGCATGAATTAACACTTGAGAAAGAAGCAGAGACGCTGCTTTCCAACATGGTTTCCCAAGACCTTGGTACTTCAGATGGAAACGGGGAAATACGGGCGAATCTTCCATCACGTATGGGCCCAGGACACACGCATGAGGCCTTCTCTGTTACTTTGGGTGGTGAATTTCAGTAGCCAAATGAGGCCCAGAGGACCAGGCGTTGAGGAGAAAGTCTCTGAGTCTCAACTCAGAGACCATTGACATTGCCGTTCATGGTAGGAATGAGGTATGAAGAGACTTTAACCAGGAAACTGAGGGCCAACTCTGAGCCAGCCGAGATCAGGAGGGACCAAATCATGGCAGGAAAAACAGCGGCAAGGCCTGCCGGGAGCAGCCTGGGCCTTGCAGATGGGGAGTGCCCAGGCACCACCCACGCCACCTCCCACGCGGGTCATTCTGGCCAAGTCTCTTCTCTCAGCCTGTTCCTGCAGAGACGATAGAAACTATATGCTAGACTGTGAATATGCACATATAAAAGAAATTGTAATAAATTAGAAAACCAGGCATGGAAGACACCATGTGCCAGCCCCGGGCAGGGTAGGCCCTCTGGGGCGCTAGTGCCTCTCCTGTCTCCTAACTGCCCGCCAGTGGGTGGCTTTACTTCTAGGGGGTCAAGTCCGGGCAACACCCAGTTCAGGCCTTCCCACCGTTGGGGAGAACCTCCTCCCCCACCTGTGGTGTCTAGAAATGGCTTGGGTTCCAGAACATTCCTGACACTGACCTGCATTCGTGGGGCTGAGTGGGGGCGTAAACAGCAGTGCAGTTACTATTCACACAATAACAATGGCACCGCTTCCGAAGCGCTTAGTAGGTAGTAGAAGTAAAACTAAACCCGTTGCCTGCCCCGTCTTGCTCAGCCCGCAAAGGTTCTCGCGCAGAAAGAGGCCGTTGTTAATGTACCTGTCTCCAGGAAGAAAAAACTGCAACTCCTAGAAGTGAAGCAACATGCTCAGTCCACAAGGCCAGGCCCGGGGTGCAGCCGAAATAGTGCAGGTTCTTACCCAAGGCTGCGCCTGCCTCCCAGCCCAAGGGCAAAATGTCACCCGGGCGGTCACTTCCTGTGGCTTCCCACTGGTAACAACAGGGAGATGCGGTCCAGATGGGGACGCACTGACCAGCCCGTGGGCTTGGCCGGACCGCAGCCTCCTTCCCGGCGAGTTCCTCCTACCCGGCGCACAGAGCACAGAGTAGGTGGACAGCTTCCACTCCCCAGGAGTCACGAGTTAGCAGCCAGTGTCCCCTCAGTACGGCCCCATGGCCGGGTGCTGGGGCACAGCGGAGACGCTGAGGCCCAGGTGCAGGGTGTCAGGGTCTCTCTAATTAAATGCCTGTGGCCACGAAGCTGACACATCCAGCCACTGACGTCGAGTGCTCTTGTCCTAATTCACCACCGTACTTGATGTTAAGTAAGCATTAGGTTAATGGAGCCCTGGCCAGGCGGCTCAGTTGTCTGGAGCATCGCCCCACACACCCAAACAGTGCAGGTTCCATCCCTGGTTGGGGCCGTCCCTAGGCTGTGGGTTTGATCCCCAGTGGGGGCAACCGACTCATGTTTCTCTCTCACATCCACGTTTCTCTCTCTCATTCCCTCCCCCGTCCTCTCTCTCTCAAAGCAATAGAAACGCATCCTCAAATGGGGATTTAAAAAAAAAAAGCATGAAGTTAATGGACAGAATTCACTTTCCTTACATTTGGTTTATGCCGACTGCTTACAAAGAGGTCTGCGGTCGCCGGTCATTAAATACATCGGTGTCACACGGGGACCTGGAAACCACAGGGGTCCTTCTGGCACAGCCCCTCACTCTGGGCGCGCGGTTGGCAATTTGCTTTGTGCTGCTTCGCTTGGGCAGGGCAAGGGCAGGGCATGAAAGGGATTCTCAAGACGGGCACATTCAAGGCCTTATCAGGTTGGTCAGAGAAGCAGGTGAAAAGGAATGTTCCACTGAAGGAAAAGCGTCTCTCGCCTTCCAGTTCCACAGCGCTCCCCACGTGACGGGCGTATCACTTACAGTGGCAGCGGCGGCTGGCTTGCTCACCAGGCTCGGCGAAGGCCAAGCTGCCTGACCCTGAGTTCTCTGGCGTCTGTGCGCCTGGGCGAGCGTCCTCCGGGCCCACATCCCCTGGGCTCACACTCCCGCTTCCACTCCCATCAGTCACCCTGTCCAGAGACAGGACAGCACATCACCTCGGTGTGCAATACAAACAGGTGATAAGCTACCATTTAACACACTAGCAAGGACAGAGATCCTGTCCATTTAAACCGTGCTCTGTGACAGGCATTTCATTGCTAATCTCACAATCACCTTATGGAGCTAGACGCCTGACCTGTATGCAAAGGTATTTTTATACGGCTATAGATGCAGACAGTATCTATCTTTTACACACACACACACCCTCCAGTTACAGGCATGCACACACTCGGAGGGAGGAGACAGATCATAGCCCTCCCCGGTAAACATAAACAACACCATTTGAGGCATTGCAGATTCACACTATTCTATTCACAACAGACTTGAAATCACATGGGAATTTTCACTAATTTGAACGTGGTACTTAACAGTGGGTGTGCTTCTGGTGTTGCCAAGGCAGGGTGCTCACGACGGGGTCAGCGGCTAGACGGTGTGTTCGGGCGTGGTTGCCATTGCTTCACTGTTAGCGACCTTCCTGGAGAAACTCGGAGAACCTTTGATGGGGCAAAGGTGCCCGGGTGGTTCAGTGTCTGGTTACTGGGGTATCTTCACAAGACCTTC